CCTGGAGGTGTTCAAAAACCATGTAGACATGTGGCACTTCAGGACATGGGTTAGTTGGCATGGTGGCGTTGGTTTGACAGTTGGACTTGATCTGAGAGGTCTTTTCCAACCTTAATGATTCTATGATTCTATAAACCAGTAGGTGTAAAGCTCTAATATCAAGTTCCTTAGGAATCTTTTAGGGGGAACTGAGTAATACCCTATTGGACTTTAGATGCAAAAATACACTGTCATAGTCTGGAGTGAGTTGTACAACTTGTGAACCGGGGGTAGTTCAGTGCTGCCAGATCTGGGTACCTTTGTCCGTCTAGTAACATATTAGACTTTCCCTTGCTACCTCTGTTGTCTGGGGGTGGGAGGGCTGTGAAACTGATCTCGGGGATGATCAGTAGCTCTAAAAAACTTAAATGTGGGAAGGAGGCAAAATCTGGTATTCTTACCCAGACTATAGCCAGGTTTTGCTGCTAGAAGCAAAATGAACTACTTGTGGTGTCTTCTGTCTTTGCCATCTGTAGGTTACAAGAGATGTTGGGGGGGGAAAAATGATTCATGTCCATGGTAATTCATGTAGCTCTTATTCTGTGTTACTTACGTTGTTGTTAGAAGTCGCAGCTATGATCTTTATAATTTATCTTTTCTTTCTCCTCTCCTTTTGCCTCCACCCCTGGCCAGTATGACTTCTCCCTGGAAACGAAAACAATCAAGTGGGCTGAAGATATCAAAACAATTCAAGCTGCCCAGAGAGAAGCTGAACGCAAGGCAGAAGAAGGATTAGCGAACTCAAAAGCAGCTCCAGAGGACAGCAACAAAATGGGGTTCTCGGAGGGACCTTGTCCTGAGGCCATGCCTCCTCCTATTAACCCCGTCCTCGCCAGCCTGCAGCACAATAATATTCTTACTCCCACGCCAGCCAACAGCAGCGCTGTGAAGCAGAAAGTTCTCAGTCCACCTCATCCAAAAGCAGACTTCAACCCAGCTGATTTTGAATGTGAAGAAGACCCATTTGACAAACTGGAATTAAAAACTATTGATGATAAGGAGGAATTAAAAAATATTCTTGAAATTCATGTTGGTACTACTGGGCCAATCGTCGCCCAGCTGTTAGATAATACTTTGCCCAAAGGAGGGTCTGAGTCTGTGTTGCAAGATGAGGAAGTTCTGGCATCCATAGAAAGGGCCACGTTGGACTTCAAGCCCCTTCACAAACCCAATGGCTTTATCACTTTACCACAGTTAGGAAACTGTGAAAAGATGTCCTTGTCTTCCAAAGTGTCCCTGTCCCCCATCACTTCAGTGAGCAATATCAAATCCCTGTCCTTTCCTAAACTTGACTCCGATGAGAGTGATCAGAAATCATCAAAGCTCACGAGCACTTTCCACAGCACTACCTGCCTCCGCAATGGCACTTTGCTCAGCTCTTTGCAGGCCTGTGCTCAGAGTAAAGCTAGTGAACTGAACGGACATCATATGGTTGGTCCTTCTGCTCTGAATGAGGACAGTGGCATGGAGACATCAACATCATCCTCTTCATCCAGGCTGCCTTCTCTGGCTGTGTCGACAGTTTGTACAGAAGAAGAATCATCTCACAGCACAGCCACCATGGTAAACATGCCCTAGAATTAGATCAGAACTGGGGTTGCTGGGGAGATGTGGAGGTGAAGAGGCAAATGTTGCTTCTAAAATGTCCTGTGGTTTTAGTTTCATTTAGTGGGAGTGTTACGTAGATGCTCTTAATTTACACAGCAAATTGACCAGTCCAACAGGTCTTCATGCTGGCAGTTCTGAACCTCAGATTATTACTCTGCAAGTTTCCTCAAAATCTGATATTTTAGACCAATTCTGGTGATTTTTCTTACGGCATTTTCATCTCTTGTTGTGTGTAGTTGCACACCTTTTAGCTAAGTCTATAAGATATCTTCCTTGTATGGTCCTGCATTCTGTCTTACTCAGCTGAGATATATCAGATTCTGAAGTGCTGTTGGGTTTTGAGGCAAATACCTTCTAGATTTGTTCCTCGGCTTGTTTATTTGTGTGCTGGTAATAATGGGAAATGCAGGCTTTTCGAGGAATAGAAGCAATAATAGATTCAAAAACTGAGATTTGCTGTGTCATTCGGGAAAGATAAAAGCGCTTCAGTTGACCTGCAGTGAAATAAATGTGGTTGTTTTGTTTTGTTTTAAATTTTCTTCCTGAGATCCTTCTAAAAATCTAATCTTTGAAAGGAAGAAAATGATGGTGGTCTGAAATCCAGCATTTACCCTCTTCCTTGTGAAGGAAGGTGGAAGGGTTGCTTGGTGGATACCAAAACCTTGAAGATCATCTCCAATTACTGATGTTACAGATGTTTGCTGTATGATGAGATGAGAGTTTGATGCTTCGTTTCCTCAAACTTGTAGCAAGTTCTAAAATTCCTTTGGGGACACTTAACTTTATACCAGCTGTTGCCTTTGTCTCTTTGTGAATAAGAGCAGAGATTTGAGTAAGTTTGTGAGCTTTTTTTTCCCAAAGAACCTAGGATTTGGACAGTGATACTCGTGGAACCCAGTGAAAGCTGTATAGTCAAACCCTCTAGCTGTCTCTACAATAATCAGGTTTCTTCTGTCCAATATAAGCAGTAGTTCTGTGGCCTTACTCATGTACTGTAGGTTTTCTTGTGACACCATGTGCTCTGAAACAAGTGACACTGCTTCTCTGCTACTGTTCTTCCACCTCATCTCAGGCTTAGGTATATGCATTATTAATTGTAAAAGACTATTCTGGCAACTGCTGTCTTTGTCAGAGCACAACAGAACAGCTGTTTACTGATCACTGGAAGAAGTTTAATACAGTAAACTTGGTCAGAAGCAGCAATGCACTGAGCAGCTGCTCACTGCTACGGGTCACAGGTTTGAGAGGCAGTTGTAGGACTGTATGTTACCTCAGAGGTGAAACCTCCAAATATGACATGTTCTTCACTGTGAGGGTGGTCAGACACTGGCACAGGTTGCCCAGAGAAGCTGTGGCTGCTCCTCCCTGGAAGTGTTCAAGGCCAGGCTGGATGAGGCTTTGAGCAACCTGGTCTAGTGGAAGGTGTCCCTGATGATGGCAGGGGGGTTGGAACTGGATGAGCTTTAAGGTCCCTTCCAACCCAAACCATTCTGTGATTCTGTGATCCCTAGGAATTAACATGAATGATCACTTACAACGACATGGGTGGGCATTCGGATGGCCAAATTTTCACTGTAACTATTCAGATCTCTGTGTTGCATTATTAAAGGCCAAGAGGGAAGATGTTTATTCTCAAGAACTCTCAGTATTCTCAAGAATGCTGTAAGGGAAGATACAAACTGATAAACAAACAAACAGAATAGACTTACAAGGAGTAGTAATAAAGATTTTCATTTGAAACTATTTCTGCTTTGAAAGTAGCAAACCAAGAAGTGGGTATGCTGGCAGAACTCGTTCTTTCTGTTTAAATTCCAAGAGTTCAGACTATGCTTGTTTCATGTTTCCACAGTATGGTCCCAGTGGCTGGAAAATGACAGCTAAGCTGCAAGAATGTGAAGTAAATACAACAGAACCGTTGAAGTAATTGTAACAAAAATCCTCAGAGTGTGAAAATGATAGAATGAAGTTACAGTCATCCCTGTGGCTGAGAGCAGGGGAATCATGTGTCCCTTTTTCTCAAAGGTTACACTAGAATAAGCCTGTCCTTTTTAGAAAGCCTCAGGACAATTGGATGTCACAGTGTATTCCATAGTGATTTTATTTATTTATTTGTTTGTTTGTTTGTTTGTTTATTTCTGCAGAGGACTTAGTCCTGTAACTTTGGATTTGGGAGTTACCACCAGAGTTTATGCTTTCCCAGTGAATTGGATCTAGGGTTTTTGGATGGTAATAAACTTGTGTTTTCTCAGAGGCTGCACTGATTTCTGTCCTTGGTGGTCCCCTCTCCTCTGAGCTTTTTTGAAGCTCACTGGTTTGTTTTTCACAGCGTTGGCAGAGGGAGGAATGACTAGAGAAGGCAACAGGTTGGAAATAAACAAAGCTGGTCGGAGACCTGACTAGTGAGGTACATTTTATTTACGTTTTGTGGTGCTCCTGGTGGCCCACGCAGATGATAGTGCTGCGGCAGTGTGCTGTGTGCGGGCACAGCTGCGGGCAGCGCGCCCGGCCTCTCTGTGAAGTCCCTGAAAGCAGGCACAGTGTGCCAGCACATCCTGAAAGCACTGCACGTCTG